CTATATGCTATACTACTATGCTCAAACAATTAAATGTGTGCTCCAGAGGTTGTATACTCAAATTCTACAATCTTTTACACCGCCACGATCTGGCTACTTTATCTTAGTACATTTATGTCTGTTTTTAATGAGAAAAAGTAAAGGATTATATCATCGATATCATGATGTGCAATCAACTCTAATAACAGTATGAAACAGAACTTGTGACATAACTCAATGCACTGACACTTCGCGGGGAGGTTTAACCCACTTTCAAATCATTTCATGTGATCGATTGAAACGGGGCCAATACAAACGAGTGTGTTTCTTGGTCGATGGTCAAATTAAAAGTAGGAGCAGGAGGGGATTACTAATTGTAGTAGTCTAACTGAACACAGGTGTAATCGATCGTTTAATCGATCGATCGATCACTCCACTGATATCCAACTGTGTGCACAGAACTCACTGGCAAACAGAAAGCAATTGATGCTCGCATCTTCAAATCTGATCACGCATCGAATCACTTTTGTGATTGGATGTGAGCAGTACTTGTCTCAAATACCGTTGCGTGAAATGACTAGGATTTGATGTGACCTGTCACTTGTCTAACCGTGTAACGGAAATGCCATAGCGAACCAGAAATGCATACATCGGTTTATGTACATGTACATCTATATCTCCAGATACCCGCTCGAGACAGATGGAAAGAAGCACCGCATGCCACACGACCAAAATCGAATCGTAAATCTGGTACAAATCGAAACGATCGTTCTGTTTTCACTGCNTCTCTAGCTTTCGCTCTAGCTATGGTGGATGACGATGCTGGTGAGATACAGACCGCAAACAACGGGGTGTCCAGTGTCGAGACAAATAGTACTTAGATTTCTCATGAAACGCGAGTGTAAACACTGAACTATAGTACTTGTAGCCACCGATAAGCAGTCGGATAAGAGCCGAATGGCGCTACTCTCACAGCGAACAGTACAAACGCGATTCATGNCCCGAAGAGTCTGAGTAGATCTATCTTATCAAAAATTCTCACGGTAAGAGGAATGCGATCATCATTCGATTTCTGTTCTCTGATAGTAGTCAATATGACATAGATTACGGGTTTCGGTTTCCGAATTAAGGAAAATCATGCTATCGAACGATGTGTACTCGAGCGTGCGGAATAAAGATGAAGAGGTCTCCGGTTTTGCATCCACCAACCCGCTCACTCAGTTCTTCCGTAAATAAATTTTCTAGGAGAGGGGTAGTTTGTGAGAAAAGTGAGAATTGAACAGCATCGTGGTCCGAATTCTCCAATCAAAGATGCCCGTACTTAGCGAGAATACTACACGGGAGAGTATGAGTGCAAAAGAATGCCTGAAGAAAGTGCAGCGTACTGCAAGGGGGGGGGAATCTTTCGTTGCTGATATTTGCTAGTGATTATTCACGTTCTCAACTTATCTTATTACTATCTGAATAGTACCACATTTTGCAAACAACACATCAGGGAGTGGCAAACAAGCTAGCCAATTCAGTGATTCGCATCCATATCAATACAGTACGTGTATCAGGCTATCGCTGATTCTTCTGGTCGTTCATAATTTTCTAACAATTTGGAAAACGTTGAACAATTTCCGACCACATCCGTCTCTCTCTCTCTCCCCAAATGATTCGATTGTCTGTTTACGTTATAACGTTCTTTCCTATCTGAACCGGTATCTATTGGGTTTGAACCAGTATCCCAGGTAAGCTGTATCAAATACACGAGGCTTTTTATCGATGATAATCTTCAATGGATCTCTCACATTTATTATATCATCACTAAACTTCCACGACCTTCTTTCCATATCCGTAAACTTTGTCAGTTTTGAATTCAACGGTCAAGTATGTCCAACTAAGTGTACCAGTGTATCTTCCTCGTTTTACTTTATTGTTCACCTGTTATTTTTTTCTAATCTCCTAAAGAAAGATTGTTAACTACTTCGACGTGGACTGACCATTATTAGCCGTGTTCCCTCAATCCCACTGGAGGAGTTGATAACTAACCTGTGCGAGTGTCATTTGAATACATGTGAAAAGTTTGCACATAAGATTCTTATTCATCACATATATCCGCTACACACAGATCCAATTTCCCGTCGTTCCCGTCCGTCAATCAGATCGCAAAACAGTTGTGTTTTCTCTCGAATAAACATATATATTGTAACTCTACGGTACCCTCTTCAGTAGGTATTCTAGTTAACAAGGAATAGGTTTTCACGGACTTTGTCAGCAGTTTTCGGACTTAACTTCTTACCTTCCCTCTCTCTCTCTCTAATGTGTACACTTTTCATAATTGCAATAATTACATCATATAGCTAATTAGGAATAAAACTGTCTTTGGAAAATAAACCAATATTTTATTAGTCGGAGAGAATAGACATATTCGATCTTGATGGCCCGACTGCCCTCGGGAGAAGGGAATGAGGCTGGAGATTGAAAGTTCATTGTGCTTTCAACTCCACAAAGCACAGTGCAAAACCGCGATGGGGCAGGAAGTGTGAAGACCGAACAGAAAACAGTGTCAGTAAATTGCACATTCAAACTTTTGCACACACACACACACACACACACACACTTGATAGAAGACGGTGAGAGAAAACTCGGCCCCGTTCGTGGATAAAGAAGAGGTAAAAATTTACGCAGTGAGACGGTGGACAGTCATTGTTCGCAAGAACAATTCGTTCTATGCTAAGTGGACATCTTTCTCTAGCGTGATCTAATTTTCTGTCCAGAGCAGCGAACCACACAACGGAATCCAACAGGTTGAAGCCCGATGAATGGATTGATTGAATCGGACAGCCAACGCACGAGCACGAATTACGTGACCTCCGGGTACGTGTCATTTGTGATCACTTACTAAGAGGAGCATTGTATTATCTACCTACCGGGCAGAAACTAGGGATGAAACGTTACAAAATGGTTAGATTGTTCGGTGGGGAATTCTTTCACAGCATGCCTTCAAGTCGTGTTACATTGTGATTATTGCCTCACATCCCCATTTGCCTGCAGGGTCGGTGAGAGCCGGAAATATTCGCACGCGCCGATTGCGTTCGTTCTGGACAAACATGAAACAAACTACGGGCGATAGACGAACTATATCTCGGTTATTAGTTCGGAAACTTTTGACAAGGAATCGGGAACGGGAGAGAGTATCCCAACATAGGATGACGGTGGTGCAGTGGTTTAGTCACTGTTACCGGCGTGCTTTGGACCCTATGGTCCCAGGTTCAAACCCCGCCACCGCCACCCGACTCTGGTGATAGGCAGCTCTGCTGTCATCCGGTTCAATACCACACCTAACCTAGCACCGAGGCCCTATGTGGTTCGCCACTCCAAGTCCCGCATTTCCGCCACTGAATAACAGCAGGTCCTCGTGACAATGGGGTTCACCCCGTCTGCTGTTCATCACACTCAGGTGTGTAATAAAAAACAACTCAATTACAGGACACTAAAAGCATCAGAACTAGCCTTTCTGAATTACGTTGTTTCGGTGA